GATTATTTTAATAGTGACAAAAATTAGAAACTGTTATTAAAACGCTAAAACACTATTAGTGAAAATCTTATTGTTATCTGATGGTATACTATTCTTTTTCATAGGAATGAATGAGGTGCAAATGTTTGTGCTCTCAACTTAGGTCATGTTGATACAAGTCCATTAGCAACACCTTGGCAACCGCCTGGGATACCGTAGCAACCACTGAGCAATGCCTTTACAACTACCCGGGATACCATAGCAACCATTTTGAAACATCCTAGCATAAACCTGGGATACCATGCAACCACTTAGCAACACCTTTACAACCACCTGGGATACCATAGCAACCACCTAGCAACACTTTTACAGCCACCTGGGATACCAAAGCAACCACCTAGCAACACCTTTACAGCCACCTGGGATACAATAGCAGCCATTGAGCAACGCCTTTACAACCACCTGGGATACCATAGCAACCACTTAGCAACAACTTTTACAACCACCTAGGATACTATAGCAACCACCTAGCAACACCTTTACAACCACCTAACACACCATAGCAACCACCTAGTAACAATCTAGCAACCACCTGGGATACCATAGCAACCACTTAGCAGTACTTTTACAACCACCTGGGATACCATAGCAACCACCTAGCAACACCTTTACAACTACCTGGGATACCATAGCAACCACCTAGCAACACCCTAGCAACCACCTGGGATACGATAGCTGCCACTTAGCAACAACTTTTGCAACCACTTAGCAACACACTAGCAACCACCTGGAATACCATAGCAACCACCTAGTAATAATCTAGCAACCCCCTAGGATACCATAGCAACCACTTAGCAGTTCTTTTACAACCACTTTTTCTGGTTTCCTTTGCTGTCCTGTGTTGGTCGGGGCAAACAAGGTTCGAACAGTTTGAGATCAGCAGTGAAAATGTCAGCCATATGGAACCATTTGGAACATTAGACAACAGATTTATAGTCTGTGTTCATGTTGAGCGTCTTAAGGAGATAGAATGAACTTCTCCACTGCAGGTCAGATACTCCCTGAAAACATGACATCCTGCTCGATATGCAGCAGCAGAGGCAGAGAGAAGTCTAGCAGGCCTTCAGGATGTCTACAGTGGAAACATCAAGTTTGCACGGCAAGTCAAAACATAAACAAACAGACCTGTCAGACAGGAGCTCGACACGTCAGATAAAATGGTGAGCGTCCTTGCTGCTAAACTCTCTCTGCTAAGTCTGCTTAGCTAAACAGCTAAATATCCTTAATAATCAGTGACCCAAAACAAGCAGTATTCATTTATATCCGACTTCCATCACTCCTCTCTCTGAATTGTTTGTTTCTGTCTGTCTCTCTCTCACGTCGCTTGGCGTTAGGGTGAGGTTTGACGCCATCTGTATCCTTTTTTTTGAGATTATGGAAAAATTCACCAACGACACAGCAAAACTATATAACAGTATAACTAAAAATAATGAAGTTCTCCGCCTTGAATGACCCAGTGTGTTCTGTTGTTGGGGACATGGGTCTACTTTTTATTTTTCAGTTTCCTTTTTTTTGTTTTCTGTCTTTTTTTTTGTTTTTCTTGATTTTTTACTCGTGTTTTGTACGACTTGTTTTGTTAATTGTTACTGCACTATTTTTGTTATGTATGATGTGTCTACTGGACCCCAGGAAGAATAGCGGCTATCACAATAGCAGCTAATGGGGATCCTAAGAATAAAAAAATAAACAAACAAATAAACAAATAAACATTGGGTTTCATAGGCACACACTGTACGTGCTGTAGTAATTTTATAAAGCTTTGTTAACTGTTAACTGTTTTGATTAACTCGGTCCTTTGAAAGGACTAAAACTTCATCGGTAATAAAATGTTTTTTTCTGTATTTTTCTTTGTAATTTTATTTATTTTGTTACATTTATTTCACAATTTCTTACTTTTCCCCTTAAGTGGTGTATTTGTGGACATGTAAAACTCTGGGGAAAAAGCTGAAAACTTTTTTTTATCCCTCAAAATATCATCATTTTTTGTGCACTTTAGAAACTGTATATAAACCAAAACGTGCTGTATTGTCTGGTGGGCTCTGGTTTGGAAGGTTCAGTCTCCTCCACAGGTCACAGTCAGAGCAGCTCAGTCTGTCTGTAAACGGTCAGTTTCAGTGGTCAGTCTGATCTCACTGAGTCTGTACATTGCCTGCGTTTTCTTCAGTGTTTTATCTGATTGCGGCTGTGGTTTAGATGAGTTTCCAAAGTGTATTTTCAGTTTGACGTTGAATGGTGTTGAAGTTTGTGGTGGTGTTTCTGAAAAGTCTGTCCTTTGTGGAGTTTGTTTTATGGTTACAGTCGAGTCTGGATGATTTTTTTAGGAAAATGAGTGAATTATCCTGAGACTGTTTGCTCCTGCACTGTTCTTTCTCAGTGCTGTTCCCTGTCAGGTTGTTTGTGTTTAGATGGCACACTTGTTAGAGTGAGTAGGGCTAGTAGGGCTATTGGTAGAGCTGCAGTTAATGATCATTTAATGATCAATTTGTCTGTAGATCAGTGGTTCCCAGCCTGGTCCTCAGGGCCCGCTTCATCTCTATGACCCAGTTTACACCTGGTCACTTCATGCATCTTGAGTATCCGGATTAAATCTGGATGAGGCCAAACAAGCAATCAGATTTCAGTCCGACTAACTGGAGACGCATTCGACTACCAAGTGTAAATGCGTGTGGCTAAAATCTCATTAGGATACAATCCAGATACTAGACACATGAAGTGACGAGGTGTAAATGGGGTCTATGTGTTGCGAGTTGGTTTGAAGCATGTGGATTATCTGGGGGGGGCCCTGAGGACCAGGTTGGGAACCACTGCTATAGATAATTTTATCAATGCATTGATTTTCCTAAATTCTGAATTTCCAAAGGAGGAAATCTGTAGAACAATTCAAAGCTCACTTCAAATGTATTTTCCCAATTAAGAGTTTAACTGCAGTTCTAAGGGTGGCTTTACACAGTGAAACTTTCATGCAACTTCAGTTGCTTGAAACGTACATGAAACTCAGCCGCAGCAGTTGCTTGTATCTCAACTTCTCCAATCAAAGCCAATCAAAACGCCAGTATCACATCACGTGATCAGCCCGAGGACATACTTACAAACCACTGATTTGACCAGATTAATGGACAAGAAATTAAAACAGAAGATGGTTTATTGGGCAGTTGAAAAGGATGAGTAGATAAGTGGGATTGCACTTTTCTAACCAGAATACAGGCATGTTTTGGGTTTAAGCTGCTTCTCTGTGTTATTACAGCTTTACCTGCTGTACTGAATCAGGGTATAGAAGAAAAGTGCTGTGAATATTAACAGAGAGGCAGAAATCAATCTTCTTGTTTCTGTGCAGGGTGCTGTCGCCTCACTGGGTTCGATTCCCCGGCCGTGCGACCAGGGTCCTTTCTAAGTGGAGGTTGGATGTTTTGTCTGCATAGGTTTCCTTCCACAGTCCAAAGACATGCAGTTAGGTTGAACTGGAGATGCTGAATTGCCCCTAGGTGTGAATGTGTGTGTGAATGTATGTGTCCAGGGTGTTTCCTGCCTTCCACCCAATGAGCGCTGGGATAGGCTCTAGCACCCCCCCCCCGCCACCGAGGAGGATAAGCGGCTTAGATGGTGTGTGTGTGTGTGTTTCTGTGCACCCTGGAAATGCAGATGGTAAATAAATCAGAATCAACCCTGAATAAGCAAATCAATGTATTAATGTTGACGCATTGTGGCAGTTCTATTCTGTAGGCCTAAATCTTCACCTGAAAAAACTAAAATACAACCTAGAACACAATGTAAACTAGATATTAATTTCATCTTAGTTTCATCAGGCATTTTGTGAATTGTTGCAGAATTATTCTACACTCACGCTGCGTCTGAGAACTGTTTTTTTCGCACTACTTGCCTCCCTCCTTTCTTTCTTGTCGTCCCTTGTTCGTACAGTCACCTCCATAAATCGCTTAAGGAGGGGTCTGCTGAGCCCACCGCCTGAGCAGACACTGTGTGTATGTGTAATCAAACCAGGCAGATGAAGGCCGTGAGAGCAGCAGTAGCTCTCTAATTGAACTCAGAGGTCATTTTCCTCCCTGCTGTCCTCTGGCCTGAATATCTGAGGCCTTCACTGTTACCAGGCCACGTCCAGATTCAGACTAACATCATTAAGATCTTTACAAACCACTTTCATGTATTTTACAGTCGTCTAAAAAATGTTGTATTTTAGCTGCATCATAAGGGCTGGGTGACAAGGCTAAGGTGTCATCATAATTTGTTTTTTGTAATCACTTGATATCAGTGATTATGAAGGGTGTAAAAATTTCAAAACGCTATCAATTATTTAATGAAACAAAACAGTGTGTGGAAATTATAGATGGCACTGATCGGGCTCATGTTAGTAGTGGATGTGTAGTTTTTCCTGTGGGGTTAAAAAATTGATTTTAGCTGATCAGAATCTTAAATGAAAAGCTTCCGTTAAAAACAGCTCATTTAAAGCTTAAAATTTTACAGAAGACATATCAGATTACCCACCTCGTTCAATCGGATAGAAATCGTATTCCGAATGGCCTCAGTCGGACTAGTCTATTTCGTTTGAGGTGTTTACATGGACGTATTCTACTCCAATTGAACTATTAGTCAGATTATTAATAGATTATCAGGCTGCATGTAAACGTGGCTGTTGTTGTATTTTGTTCTGCTTCAGTGACGAAGCAGGCTGAGAGTGTTGGTC